TTTGAAAATTTGAACGAAAACTTACTTTTGACGTTTTTTCTGCACGTCACACCGGAATCAGACCTAACCTTTCCTGTCAGGCTCGGACACACTATGGAGGAGGAAGGGGGAACAGTGCCGACTAAAAATATGTTTGAACCATGTCTATCCGATAATTTGTTTAAAAGTTATAAGCTTTGTTACTTTCCTCCTCTGTTACTTTCCTCCTCGGTCTCCCCTATCTGAATTATATTTAAAAAATTTCAATTAAATTTCGATCCAATAAAAATCATATTAATTATGATATATATATATATATATATATATATATATATATATATATATAAATTTTTGAAAGCTTTTATAAAATTCTTTAAACAAAATCAATTATTTTTAAAGTACTTTTGGTACTTAAAATAAATAATAAAACTAATAAATTATTTCATATTACTAATTTTTATTATTGTATCATATATATTGTACGTTATGCAGCGAATTAAAAAGCATTTTTCTTGAATTTTTCAATAATAGATTGCCAACAGATGTTTAAATATTTTGCTGTGCTTTTCATTAAATTTTTTCTTTTAAATAAACAATTTAATCATAAATAAATTATAAAAAAAGTCAAATAATTATTTAATTTATTAAATATTTTAAGAATAGAATTATAAGATATATATATGGGCGATTCCACTGAGATTTATAGTCGAGGCCTACAAATTTCAACCGATTTTGACGTTCTTGGTCTTATTTTAAAGATGATTAAAAAATAAAGAAAAGAGCTGTAAAGAGACTGGGTAAAATTAACAAAAAATATTTTGTTTATATAAAATTGTTATTAAAAATATAAAAATTATTTAATTAATTATTGATTTTGTTAAATATTATAAAAATACATTATCTTTAAAAAAAACTTAAAGCAAACCTAAATCTGAAACATGTAAAATTAGCGGTACTATGTATTTGTTAATTATGGGTTGTTTAAACAATGCTATATGTAAAAATTAATTAAAGTAAGTATTAGTCGTTTACCTTGACTAATAATATACTTAGATATATATACATTATATCAGTAAATAATTTTTTTTTTCATTGACATTAAATTTTTTTCTATTTATTTCAATGTATTTTATACACTATGATAATATATAAAAGTTAAATATCCCGTCGGTGCGCGCGCAACTTTGCAATGCAAAACTACTAAAGTCAAACGAGCAACTTTTTTTTTCCAGTGCTTAATAACTAACTCATTGCCTTCTATTTTTCATTGCATTTTACCGGTGTGCTACACTCAAACTATTTTTAATTAATTACCACCAGTTGTAAAAGTAAAAAATCACCGTTAGAGTTAAAATTGATAGTTCGATAACTAAACTGAATTAAGGTTAGGGTTCTGCCATAGCAGTTACAGTGTTAGGTCCGTAGTTGCAATTTTTTCTCTAGGGGACTTTTGTTTCCCAATTGTACTGCCTAGGGTTAAATACGCCAATTGTATTAATAATAATTTCAGTTTCTTATAATTTTAACCCTAGAATGGAAATATGATTTTTTTACCCTCTAATGGAAAACTGGGGTAATTTGGCACCCCAGACGATGTTTAACACCACATCGATTAAAACTAATTCAATCCCACCGGCGCACAAGTACCAGAATCAACAGTCAGATAGATAAACTGAATTATGGTTAGGATTCCAGACCCAACCTTACCTCAGTCGGGCCAGGAGCGTACCTTGAATTTCGCGTGGGGTGCCTAACCACTCCAGTTTTTCATTCCACTAATTTTTTTTTTTTGTACAAGGTACAAAGCACTCAAACTTACTAACTAGAAAAACAAAATTTGAATACAATAAAAATAAATCAAAAGAAAAATTAGACTGAGTTATTGTTATCATCAGTAATATTAACAAATAAAAGAGAATAATTATAAGAAGCGTATACAAGAAAGAAAGCTTTTATATCTCTATACAAAGAGGTTAAAAATTTCAAGAACAATAGCAAATTGGTATACGGAAAAAAATATGAAATATCATCGTGAAAAAGAGATACGAAAAAAAAGATGCACATTTTTCTTTTTTTCGCTGAAAGTCATATGATTTCGTATATAGATATATATATATATATATAGAGGCACATAGATATCGGTAATGCATCTGGGGGATGCATTTAAAATTCTGCGCGTTCGAATTCATTCGTTCGGTAGCCAGTTCTGTTATCTATGCGTACGCGGCTTGCGGTTTTCGACCCAGCGTGGTAATAACTTCGAGGCGTGGTTCGAGCGAGCTCTGCCCGGGGCTTGGTAAAGTACAAAGGTACAAAGCCTCGGTAATATATTTTGGATTACCCTTCCTATCCTATTCCTATCCTATCCTGTTTTATACTGTACACTCCACCTATACTCATCCTCACGACCGAGTTTCGCTGCTCGTTAAAAGTATCTGAGCCTCTTCCTAACGAGACCGTTTGGATCACGCGGGGTATATAGAGGTACACAAACAAGTAGTTGCAATCTCTCGTGCAAATGGCCTCTTGCTAAAAAATACATACACTCTCCATTAAACATTCCCAGAAATTAACGACCTTTAATAAAAAAAAAAAAAAAATCACCTCACCCCTTTCTCGAGAAATGTAGATGTATACACTTCAGAGAGAGAGAGAGAGAGAGAGAAAAAAGAAAATTACGTGCGAATGATATTTATCACTCTCGCGCAGTATATTTTGATATATATTTTCCAAGCAGGATCATTTCGTGTGCTAATTGCTGAGGGATAAAAATTTTCTCTGGCTTTTGCATCTTTTTTTTTTTTTTTTTTGCTTCCGAGTGCGCGACTTGGCAAATTTTTCTGACTTTAGAATTTTGTACTTGAATTCTAATTCAGAAAGTATTTCCGGTTTTTGAGAATTGAAAATAATTTTTTGTCAAAAAAAAAAATTAGGTTTTTGATTTTGGTTTTTGCCAAGCAAGAAATGAGAAGTCATTATTGACGTCTATTCAACGTCAGTAACAAGATAAATACATATATAGTCGATTCTAGAAGAATTTTACCTATGATTTTCTAAATATTTTTATATAAAAAATAACAATTTTATTATAAACAAAATAAATTTTGTTAAACTTTGGACCCGATTTTATTTTCTTATGTCTTTATAAAAATTTTGCAAAACTTAAATTTTCAAAATTTCTAAATACAATTATTTATTTTTAATAATTATAACAAAACGAATTTGTTATGGGTATAAGTATATTTTTTGTTTTATTTGAATTACAAATATCACTCCCTTACAAATTTCTTATTAATCGTACAGCGGAATTTTAAAATTTATGTTCTCACGTATATATACAATATGTTTTATTCATATAACGAAAGCTGCTTTTCTTATTCTCAAGAGAATCATTCAATGCGATATTCTACTTTGATTATTGTTTCGGATTTAACAATATATCATATTTTTATTACAATAATATACTTCTTTTATTTTTCTTCGGTTTTGTAATTTATTTATCATTTAATAATAATTATTAATTGATTAATTATTTACGAACGCTTTTAGTAAGTTTCAACAATGACATAAGTTTTTTTCTTTTAAAAGACAATACTTCCGGTATTCTGGTGCATGAAGTTGTTACTTTACTTCCATAGAACAATTTTATGGGGTAGCAAAAATTTTTGATAAATTACAATCGCAGGAAACTTAGCGTTCGTATTTACCTCGATACTTTGCAACTTTCCTAAAATACCGGGGTAAATACGAACGCCACTGTATTTCAGAAAAATCTTAGGGAAAATAAATTTGAAGTATTGCAATTGTTAAACTTATATAAAAACTCAAAAAAAATACGATAATAAACCTATTATGTAATAATGCATCATATATAAATACAAAAATCAAACAGGTTAAAAATTAAAATGCATTACACAATTAAAACCTTCAATAACTTTACCAAATCATAACGGATTTTTGCAAAACTTGGTACAGAAAGTATTTTGGAGTGATTGAATGTAAATACAAAAATAAAAGTCAAATTTTTTAAATTCAAAATGGCGGACTTTCCTAAAAATTATTTTTAAAAATGATCAAATTTGCTAACTCCAAATTCGTAATCAGCGACCCTGAAACCCCCCGTGTAACAATTTTCGAGCGAATCCAATGAATTTTGTAATTCTCATCCGCCATATTGGATCCGCCATTTTGAATTTTGAAAAACTGACTTCAAATTGGTAATCAGCGACCCCAAAAACTCTAGAATACCAAATTTTATTAAGATCCTGAAAAACTTTTTTCAACAAACCATTTGGCAAAAAAAATGGAACACTCCTTCGAGAGAACAGAGATTAAGTTCCTGCTTATTAGTTACTAACGAGGATACATATAGAAAGAAAAACTTTTTTCTATGTACTTTTATAATGTTAAAATAATAGTGTAATCAAATAAAAACAATTTTTGATATAAGAAAAAATTATTGAAAATACCGTTCGGATTTACCCCGGTTTTCCAATTTTTCGGGGTAAATACGAACGGTCTGATATTATTAATAAAATTTTACAAAAGGCAAAAATGAAAAATAGTTTCTGTTCTAGTATTCATAACAAACAATTATAAATAATAAAATGAATTTTTAGCTTCTTTTTCTTCAAATACGAGACAAAATACTGAAAGAGTGTCATCTTTGATTTTCAAACTTTTTTGCAATACTCGTTATCTTTGTTTATGCTGTTGCTAATTAACAAACGAAAAATGGGATAATACTTAGAATCTCTTGAAGAGGATCTGAGGTAAAAATTCTCATGTCTAACTTATTTTTTTAAATTTTAATTAAGCTGAAATAATTAGCGTTCGGATTTACCCCGGCTAACCCTATTTAAAAATTATTATTACTATTATTATTAATTATTAACATCAAATTAAAGAATATTATTAATATTATTGTTAGTACTCTTATATTTTATGTAAAAAATGTGACCAAATTTTTTAAAGTTTTTATTAATATATATTAAAATGAAATTTTTTTTTATTTGTTTCAGGTGAGTGACCAATTATAAATTAACTTTGGAATAAAAAAAATCAGAATAATTTTTATCATCGCGGTAAGTAATAAAAACTTAATACAAAAAATATTAAAAAATAATCTATTTTATAAATACTCAATTATTCATATTTTTATATATTTAGTTAATTTTACTCATATAAAAACTTATGGTAAATATTAAGTATGAAATTACATTGAAAAAGTCATGTAAAGAAAAAAAAAAAAATTTTTTACAAAAAATGAAAAAATTTTCATGAATAATAAAAGTAAACTAAAAAGAGAACTTCTTCCATCTACAAATCTAATTATAATTCTAAATATTTAAAAATTTGACTATATTTTCCATTATATATACCTATATATGTCTTCTTAAATTTGATAAATTGAGTCAACAGGTGAGAATTTAATTTTATTGTAACTATTCGAGATTTTCAAAAAAAAAAATCATTTTATTCCTCCATTAAAAGATTTTCACGTCCCTAACGATAATTATGATAGTAATGAGGGGAAAAAAGAAAGAAATAAATAAAGAGAGTGAGAGAGAGTGAGATAGATAGAGAAAGAGAGAATAGAAGAAATTAAAAGGAAAGAATAAGACGATTCTTTTTCATCAGTGCACGATATCCTTCCTCTTGGCAAGTCGAGAGAGTGGAAACGCCAAGTTACCAGAGAAGCTCGCTTATGCGGAAAAAAGAAGAGGGGTCGTCGACGTCGTCGTCAAGAAGTTAACACGGTGCAATAGGTAGAAAAAAAAGACCAGGGGTTTGGGTTTTAGAATTCAAAAGGAAAACGAAGTTTTTTTCGTCGTTTTTTTTTTTACTATATAGTTTTTGACAAGAGCCAAGAAAAATAGGTGTATATTTTCAATGTATTGACAAACAAAATATTTTTTTTTTCAGTTTATTAAAAAAAATCGGAAAATTGATATTTTTATTGATATTAAAGAAACACTAAAATTATTTTTTTAACAAAAAAATATATTTAAAAAAACGTAACGCGATAATCGTAATCAGTGACCCTAAAAATCCACAAGTTACAAATTTCAAGCAAAATTACAAATAATTTTTAAAAAATTTTTGTAATGAGTGATCCTAAAAACCCCCAAGTAGCCATTTTTAATCAAATCCAATCACTTTTTAAAAATTCGTCCACCATATTTAAACGCCATTTAAAATTTTCAAAAACAGACACAGGATTCGTGATCAGCAACTTCAAAAATCCCCAAGTAGTAAATTTTAAGCAAATCTAGGCACTTTTTTTAATAACTCGTCCGCCATATTGGATCCGCCATTTTGAATTTTTGAAATCTGACTTCAGATTCGTAATCATTCGTAATCATCATGACGATTATGTGATTCCCTATTTAAAATTGTCGCATTAAAAGTATAGAAACAAAAAATCAATTATGATTTTTCCTCAATTTTTTCTTTTTGTGCACGAAAGGGTTAGTTTAAGTATCAGTGAAAATGAGAGTAAAAGTATATATCAAAATTAATTTTATTGTAAATTGCGAAAAAAAACGTTTTTTTGAAAATTAAGTATTTTGTGGGAAAAAATCTCAGCTTTCCAATAAAAATAAAATAAAAAAAAAAAACGTACCCGAAGATGAAAAAAATCAAAATTTATTTTTAATTTTCAAAAATTTTGGTCAAAAAAAATTTTTTTTTCAAAATGGACTACGCCAATCGAAAGTTAATGAAAAAATCTTATTTATTTTTTATTTTTTCGTTTAAGTATAATAAATAAACAAAGTATGGCGTGTCAGCGAAAAACTCAAAACTTTTACCCCCTCCCCTACTGCTAATTTTTTATAAAATTCAAAAGTACTTGGCTGATAAATTACCAACATATAGGACAACTCAAAAAAAAAAATTGGGGATAGATTGGATAAAAATTATTTTTTGCCTGGACTTTTGATGTGAAATCCATCATAAGTGTAAATGAAAGTGAAAGTGATAGTGTAAAAAAATAACTTTAGTGTAAGTGAACGTCAATAAATTTTAATCGACGGTTACTGCTATTAAGTTGTCTCTCCCTCTCTCTCTCTCTCTCTCTCTCTCTATCTAGTAATATTTATTTATACAAATATACACGAAGAGATTTAACATCGATGTATTTCGATTTAACTGGACATTATTAAAGGGTACGTGCCGAATATCCGATTCGAATTTGAATCTCTCTCGCTTTAGGCAAGTGTACACATAAATAAAATCACGCCTCGCGCGCCATTGTTCATGTGGAAGTCCGGTTGTGTAATGAAATTAGTCTTTGCTCTGTTTTCAGAGATGCAAAATTGTAAAGTACTGTTATTGAGCTTTATATATATATACATGGCGGTGAAAACCACTGCGTGTAATGTAATTTAAAACTTTTTAGCTAATTATTAATGTTATATTTCTAAAGAGGTTGGTAGCTCTCTCAAAAAGGTTGTATATATAAATTTAAATCAAATTCACCTTAATAATAATAATAATAATGATAACATCAGTTAATTTGCTTTTCGGGATATATTATAATTATTTATTAATTTATTCCTTCAATTAAAATTAAAATTACGAGTTTGTTGTAATAAAATTTTTATTAGAAAATCGCTAATTACGAATCTGGGGTGCGTTCACATAACTCTCACACTGACTCTCACTTTCACTTTCACTTTGAGAAATTTTTTTTCACATTCTTATTCCCAATCACATTTTTACTTTCACTTTCAAAAAAAAAAAATTTCACTTTCTATTTCTAAATCTCATTATTACTTTCACTCTCACTTTCACTTTCGGAAAATTGTTTTTTAATTTACTCCTTCTCAGTTTTATTCTCACTTTTGAAAAATGTTTTTATTTTCTTATTCCGAATCTCATTCTTTTACTTTCACTTTCGAAAAACATTTTTTACTTTCTCATTATCACTTTCACTTTCGGAAATTTTTGTTTATTTTCTCTTTCTCACTCTCACTATAACTTTTGGATTTTTTTTTTTTTTTTTACTTTTCACACTCAGTATTCTAACTTACTCTTTTGAAAAAGTTTTTTTCTCACTTTCTCACTCTTATTTTCACTGAAATTTTTTTCATTCATACTCTCACTAAAGGATTTTACATTTATACTCGAACTTTCACTTTTCCTAAAAATTTGTTTATAGTTTTACCCTCTTTAACTTACATTAAAATATTTTTTCATTTTCACTCTCACTTACACTGTCATTATATTTTTTTACACTTACACTCTATTTTTCATTTTTCACTAAATTTTTTTTACACACACAGTGAGAAAGTAAAAAAAAATGAAAGTGATAAAAATGTAAAAAAAAATTCCGAAAGTGAAAGTGAAAGCGAGAATGAGAGTGAGAATTATAAAATAAAAAAAATACCCAAAAGTGAAAGCGAAAGTGAAAGTGAGAGTTACGTGTACGCACCGCTGGAGTAAGATTTTCAAAATGGTCGTTGATTACGAATTCAATTTTAGATTTTCGAAATTAAAAATAGTGGATCCAATACAGCGGAGTATTTTTTTTTCAAAAAGTTTCATTTCTCTTAAATCTCGTTACTTAGGGATTTTTAAGGTCACTAATTACGAATTTAATATCAGATTTTTTTTTTAGAAATTTTAAAATATTTTTCACGTCATACAAAAAGAAATATAGTTGAGAACATCTTTCGATAAACCTGGAAGTGAAATTAGAAGGAAAGAAAAAAAAAACCTTTTTTGGAAAGTTATTAATGATCAAAGTTTGTTTCATAATTACTCGGCTCTACATACTATAATATAGTTATAGTAGCGCAAGTAATTGTACTTTATAAAACTTTAAAAATTAATTATTTTTCTATTCAATAAATTTTTTTTTTTTTTTCTAATAAAATATTTTTTCTTTTCATAATCGGAAAAATTTATTTATAATTTATAAAAAAGTTAAAATATAAAATTATTATAATATAATAAATAATGTTATAATTATTTCTAAAGTAAAAACCTAATTAGTCGCTTTTCTGTAACGGGTGAAAATTGTTACCAATTCCTCTCATCAAAATTTAATAATCCTTAGGTGCAATTGTGTAATTTCATTTTGACTTCGACATCGATATTGACTTTCATAATGACTTTCACTTTCATTTTCACTTTTATTGAAATTCAATTTTTAATTGAATTAAAATTGAATTGAAATAGTTTTTGGTATAAAAATTAATAATAATTTATAGGTACTAAATATTATGGAAAATGCAGTCCGATCTCAGAAATTTGTCTTTCTTAAATTGGATCACTTCAGAAATTTTTCCTCAATATTTATAATATTATAAAATATCTTAGCTTTGTGTTTCATGGGAAAAATTTTCTTTTCTCTTCTTTTTTTTTCTCTTCGTTTCAAGGAAAAAGTCGTTTGAAAAAACAAATACCCTTTTCATCTCAACTTATCCCTCTTCACAAGCCCGTTTTTCTCAGTAATCGAGAATAACAAATGCGAAGTAGTTCCATCTTTCCGGATGTTGAAGAGGGCAGTGCTTTTATTATTCCGGATTTGCCCAACGGTTATTGTAAGCCCTTCTCGGTTTCCAGCAGTTGATATATATATATATATATATATATATCGTTTCAACGATCCGCGCTCAGATGAAAAACGAAAACGTTGAAAATAAAATGTTTCGGACCAACTATACAATATATAGCCTTTATTTGTCTGGAGGACAGGGGTGAGACAAGAGGATCATCTATAGAAAAAAAAAAATAGAAAGACAGAGATAGGGAAAGAGAGAAATCGTTAAAAAAAAGAGGTTCGAATAGTTCGGGGCAGAATAAAAAACCAAAGTCAAAATGCGAAGAAGAGGATTAGAGATAAAGAGAAGAAAGACAAAGAGAGATGGAAAAGAATAGAAGGGGAAAAGAGAGCGAGAAAGTTTTAAAAAAAAAATGCAGAGAAGAATAAAGAGCAACGGAGGAAAAAAATTACGAAAAAATAAAAAGAAAGAAGGAGATGGAAGAAAAGAATAGAGGAGAAAAAAGTGGGAGAGAGTCAGAATAATTTCTAAACGTGCATAAAAATGAAGCTGCAGGAGAATCAAGGTTTGCT